CTGCTTCTAGATAAAGGACCTTAGGAACATATGCAAGGCGAAAGAGGGAGTAGATGGCTTCCCATTGGTCAAGTCCTAAAAACTTCGTCCAACGACTACAGGAAGTCTATGGACTTGAAATACAGTTCCTCAGTCAGGTAGGTATTGCTGACTCTGCCTGCTTTACCTTCCTCAGAGTGTGATACAATTTGATTCATTTGCTCCTGAATCAAGAGAGAGTTAGAGAATCTGGTGCAGAAGCCTCACTATATGGTCTCTCACTTATGAAAGTTTCCTAGAGCAAGACTTGAAGGACTGGGGCTGTTTAGAGGTGTATATTCAACTCCAGTGGAGATGCCAGTCACTCGGGCTCTCTGGGATGGGTCATAGGGCCAAGTTCAGAGATGAGGTCAGCCATGAGAACTGCAATGGAATGAAATGTGGGCAGTTAGGAGCACACCTTCTTTGGCTACCTGTGTGGAAGAACTTCGCAGCAGACTGGAGGGAGAAACAAAGTGAGGTAGTTATTAGAAGTGAACAAAGACTCTGAGGTTTAGAGCCTTAGAAACTACCCATGATTTTAGAAGAGTTGCACCCTGGCCTCCCTGTGAGCAGGAAGCCATAGTCCTGTCCTGGCAGGCAGATGAGCCATTCCCCCTTCAGGTAGCTCAGTTTCAACACAAATATTTGTCCGTTCTGGGAAGAATACAGACCCCCCCATTCCAAGTGACTAATATTTAACATTAATAAATCAAGTTATCGACCTGATAAATAAAAAACATTCTATCCTCCTACCTTGAATAAATATACTTCCAAAGCAACCTGGAAAGGCAGGTAAATTTTAGGACCCTTGGGTTTTTGAAAGTCCCTCACCAGAAGGAAATAGTCCAGGGAACATCATGGCCTTGGCCTACACCCAACTCCTCTTTCTCGTTTTGCACCCAAGACCATCCTCCACCACCCAAGATCAGGGCTGGGGGAAAGCAATTCTGAGGCCACAGAAACCCTGAGCTCAGCCTACAAGGGTAGAGTGTCATGGTTCAGCCCTGAGAGGAGACTTTACATATCCAGACTGATGACTACTCCTGCTTGGGTCATGAGCTGGTATGGAGATGAGCAATCCAAACAAGTCTCCAGTGGGCTCCAGAAGTTGAATCAAAGAAGCTTCCAGATTAAGAGAGGGAGCCAAAGAAACAGACTAGTCTTAATCTAGTTGGGTTAAAACAGATTCCCATGAGCTGTGCAGAGATGCCCACCACAGCCCTCCAACTAATAAACTGAAAGATAAAAACCTGGAGTGTTGGGACCAGCAGATGGAATAATGGCTACATTGCTAGACTCCCATGTAGTCAACCACAGTTCAAATCTGGACCCAGTGGCTTAAACTTATGCTGGGCCCATGTGCGTGCATGCCCAAAATCCCAAGAGGAGAATTGAGGAGAAGGGATTGTGACATGGCCATTCCCCTGGAGGGTGATCTCTCACTTCCTGTCTCCCTGTCTCTCTCTGTCTTTGTGGCGAGTGCACGCACCCTATTACAAAAACTCTCCAAAAAATCCCCTGGAGTGTTTATACATGTGTGCATGTGTGTGCAAGCATCAGGGTTATGCAGGTATGTGTGTATGTGTGTACATGTGTAAGTAGGGATGTGTGCATATGCATGTGTGTATGGGTTGAGAGTGTGCCTTGGTGTGAATATTTTTTTTCTGACTCTTTCTATCAGCCCAGAGATAGTGAAAGTCACACCTTGCCTCTTTTCTCCCATAATAGAGCATGAGTCATTGAGAGTTCCCATAGACCTTCTTTAGAAGGAAGAAAATGTCCTCCATCCTTCCTGGGGGTGATCTCAGAAAAGTCATGACACATTTTTGCATAGAAAAATATACATCATGACTTTTCCGATGACCCAATAAAAACAACAGAGAAGTCGACGCAGAGCAACGATGAGAACACGCCCTGCAGGAGATGGTGGATATTAGTCCCCTGCACCTAAACACCAGAGTTCACACACAAACACTTCCCAGGACAACCAAGCTCCCTCCTGCGTCTCTCCTGAGTCACACTCCTGAGTCATACAGTTCCCTCAGGCATCTCTCCTGAGTCACACTCCTGAGTCATACAGTGGAAAGGAATTTCTAATTTCCAAAAAACTGCCACAGCACCACCCTTAGGCTGGAAGCTCCACTCTGATACTCTGATGAATTCCTGCCACAACCCAGACAGAACAGATTGTCCCCAGGGGCTTTCCTGGGCCTCGCCAGCACCTCTTCTCACGCCCTCCCACTTGGATGTAGTACTCTATTAGCTAATTGACTTTACTCAAAGAAAATGTAAACTCTTATATGTTTAGAACTAGAATGTAGGTTTTCTGAGTGAAACAAGATGCAAAACTTCTCAGACCCAGAACATCTACAATGTCACTTCTCCCACTTTTTCTGATCAAAGCAAACCACAGGCTGGTTGAATCCAAGGGGGTAAAGGAAACCTGGCAGAATGGCAAAGTCACATTGCCAAGGGGTGTGCATGTGAAGATGGGAGAGCTGAATGACCATTTTCACCAGTTCGTCCCACCATCAAATGCACACCTCTTGGCCATGTGACTAATCTAATATGAAAGTGTTAGACAAGGGACCAGTTTAGAAATACATGATTGGCTAGCTTTCGAGAGATTTCTGCATGACCCCACTCCTACCACATCTTCCTTCTTTCCACCCATTTATTTAATCCCCTGGCTGTAATTTCAGGTAAGAAGCATTGTCTTCTGAGTTGAAGTTATCCCCAGGAAGAATAAATTCTTTTCACCATGATTTTATTTTTCTTCTTTTCCTTTCCACAATCCTTCCATTAGCCTCAAGGCAAAAGACATTGATACTAGCTCTTATTCTAGTGTTGCACTATCAGGTGAAAGGCCCTTTTTGGAATTTTTAAATCACTGTTTTTGTTTTTTTAACATATGAAATATGGGCTACTTGCCTATCCCTCAGGTCATACCCAGTGCCTTGGGTGAGTCAGTACGTGAGTGGTTTGTGAATGTGAAGACCTAAGACATTATTGTACACTACCATAGACTTTATAAACACTGCACATTTGAGCTACACTAAACTTATTTTTTTTTCTGTTTTACGATTCTGTATAGTAATCGTAAGTTAAACTTGGATTACTATAACTCTATAAACTTAATTTTTTAAAACTTTTTGACTCTTATGAGAAGAAGACTTTACTCAAAACATAAGTACCGCTAGCTGTACAAAAATATTTTGAGGCCAGTCCCATGGCCTAATGGTTAGGAAAGCTGAATCTCACATGGATAAACAAGGTTTGAATCCTGGACCAAGCAGTTTGCAAAGCATGGTGGGCACATGTGCGTTCCTATCCAAATTTCCAATATGATGGAGAAAAGAGAAGGAGGAAGTGTGGTGTGACCACCTCCCACTGGAGAGTGCTTCCTCCCTCCCTCTCTTTCTCACAACCAGATGCACCCTCTGGGGGGAAAAAATAAGCATTGTATAATAAATAAATAAATTGGTAATAGAGTCAATTATTATTATGAAGTATTATGTACTGCACCTAATGGTATGTGCTATACTTCCACACAACTCCTACTGCAGTATCACATTGCATCAATACATGCACTTGAGCAATGCATTGCCCTCTGATGTGACAATGACTGTGAGACGATAGGAATTTTTCAGCTCCATTATGATCCTGTGGGTCCACTGTAGTATATGCAGCCCATCATGGACCAAAATGTCAGTTATGCAGCACGTGCCTCTGTGTGTGTGTGTGTACATATAAAATGTCGGTTATGTGCCTCTGTGTGTGTATACATATAAAATTTATATGACAGAGAGTCCCTTTTTTGGCTAAACTTAACAAGTCAGATTCCTTTCAGCTCTCTGTTGCACTTAACCCAATCTTGAATTTTTGGTTTCCATCCCTGCAAACTACCTTGAGCAAGAATTCTGCTAAGTCAGTTTAACTACAATCACCCACTCTAAGGGTCTGATCAGATTCCATAGCTGACCCAAATCGGACCAAATTCCTCATCTTCTACCCTGACCCAGCTCCCCGCCATGTGATGGCTCATCACCTTGGCCTATTTTCTGAATTAGGTCAGCCTAGTTAGAAACCCCCTTTATGCCCTGATGTCTCCTCTTAGTAATTTTCTATCTGCTCATCCTCTACCCTGTTCCTGGGCTGTAAGTCCCCATTTTCTTTTTACTGTATTCAAAGTTGAGCTCCATTTCTCTCCTCTAGCGCAAAACTCCATTGCAGTAGTCTCTACATTCATGGGATAGTCCAGAACGTCTGCCTGCCTACCTCAACAATGTCAGAATAATCCTTTCATGCATTTGTATGTATAAATGTGTGTATATTTTTTTGCTGCAAGATTATCCAGCGCGCAGTTTAACTTTTTTCTCATTGGGATCTTGATTAACCCTCAAGCACTGTCTGTAAAAAGCTTTTGTGAAGATAGATACAGGGATGGATCTATGGGTGAGATACAGATCAAGATGCCAGTGATTTTCTGGCCACATCATTTTAAGGCTCCAGAAGACCCACTTAACGATTCTAACCCAACTCCTTCAACAGATGCGCGTGCACATGTACGCGCACACACGCACACACACACACAGTGGTTAACAGGACTCGCTCTCTGCGGCCCCATAAGCAGTGACCAGTTTAACCGCTTCGTGACCAACCTACACGCAGTCATAACAATCACTAAGTGCTTTTCCAAGCCACTACAAGGTTAGGGGACAGCGCAGGGCAGGATTCTGCCAACAGCCAGAAGCCCTACCTAAGTTGGACTGGCCCTCGACCCTCTACTCCCAGGAACCAAAACCTCAGATCTCCTCCCTCCCTCCCCCTCTAGTACTTCGAATAAATCAGAACCAGACACCACGCGCCTAACGGCTCCGAAATGCCTCCTGCAGCCGGGTCTCAGGCCGGAAACCTCCCCGACTCGGGGTTGTGGGCAGGGGAAGGGGCGGGCGCAGGCGGCGGGGCCGGCGCGGAGGATGCACGCCGGGCTTCTGGGGCTTTCAGCCCTGCTGCAGGCGGCGGAGCAGAGCGCGCGTGAGTGCGAAGCAGCCCCAAGCTGGGCGCGGGCCTGCGCTCACCCCTCCAACTTCCCACCCCACCCCGGCGCTGAAGGGCGCACCCGCCACCCCAGCCCCAACCAGCAGCTGTCCTTGCCTGTGCTGAGCATTGCGCGCCAGCGCTTGTGTGGTGGGATCCCGCCCCGCCTGCCGAGCATTCCTCTTGGTCCTTAGTGGATGTTCATGGATGCAGGATCCCCTGCGAATGCATGAGCCACCCCCCTGCGAATGCATGACCCTTTGCGGATGATTTTTCCCAATGCGTGTACCCCCCATGACCCAACGGATGCATGATACCCCCAAAAGAAACAGGGTCCCCTCCCTCCCGCAGATGCATGGTTCCCCACGAATGCAAGGGGAAAGCCGGCCTTTAAGTCCAGGCAAAGTTCTTCCTCTAGCACGAACTCTGCAAAGTGCTACGGGTGCAATATATGCTGAAGGCGGGTCTAGATGACACCGCTTCTCGCCTCCCCACCCCGCCGCCGGCAACCTGGGACAGGTTAGGGGGACTCCGCGGCAGGGAGAGCCGCACGCGGGCTGAGGGCGGAAGGACAGCGCTCTGCATCCACAAGGCCCTGCAGCTCTGCAACTCCGCTTCGGGGTTCATAGCGGGACTGGGGCAGCCTGCTGGGGACACTTCCGTCCAGCAGAGACAACAAGCCGGGGCAGCCGAGGCGAGGCAAGATGGCCACACTCTTCGCGCCTTTCTCATTTGAACGTGTAACTCTTTCGGTGCCAGGCCGCCCACTTCCGCCAGTCAGAGGAGTCCTCTGAGGCGGGTTCCCTGGGAGCTTTGTCCGGGTCCTGAGGAAGGTCCAGCATCAAAGCCTCAGGATGCAGGATGCAGCACCCGTCCCCAACACGCACCCTGGCGGACGCTGACTGCGAACTTCACCCCTATTTGCACCACTATTTTGCTCTGGCTGCGCACTCTTTCAAAGCTGCACTGAAAAGGATGCGTATCAGGATTAACCAGGGTGATTTCAGTCCTAAATCGCTCTGGACCACACGGGCTGAGCCTGGCAGGGCTAAAACAGGGCAGAATTCCTCGGTCTCAGCAGCCACCTCAGCTCACCCCGCAGACCATGTCCCTTCTCTTGCAGCTGCGGTTGGTCAGCCCAGTCAGCCCCAGGGCGGGAGAGGGAAGGGGGAAAGTGCACATTCCTCGACCTGGGCAAGGTGGGGACTCCTCCAAAGGCCTTTTGTGCTTGGGAGGCTCTGGTTGTCAGAGTGGGTGGCAGGACACTGAGGATGATTAGAGCACTGGACAGAGCCTGGGGCCTAGGAATGGCCGCAGAAGCCCTGGCCCCTTTGCCCAAGCTGGGTTCATAGCTGTACCCCAGGGCAACACAGTTTCCCCTAAAATTCCCAGCTTCTGCCCATAAATCCACCTGCAACTTTAATACTGTAAACCCCCAGTACCAGTGCCGTAGAGGATCTCTGTATTTGTGCACCATCTCCACCACCATCCTCATGCAATCCTCAGGCGGTCACCCAAAGTCACAGGGCCAATGAGTTCCTCCATTTGAAAGATGAAGGCCTACCTCACAGACCTAGCTCCAGGCCTACCTGTCAAACACACACACACAGACTCGCAGCTAGTAACAGTTCAGGATGATTAAGTTACGCCTGAGTGGGGAGTGAGGATCCTCTCTCCACTCTGGCACTCTGCTCCTACCATCCTAAGTCAATAAACAGTCCCCAGAGAGGAGGCTTCACCTTCTTTGAAAATGAAGGCGCCAGGTATTTTGAACGTGTAGTATAACATCTAGCAGCTCCTTTTTCCAGACTGGTGTCTGATCTCAAGTGCACTAGGTAGCCCCTGCCTCTCTGTTGCAGCCTCTTTGTGGCTAAGTCTAGCAGAGGCCTGTGGATAGTGGCGACACTACGTTGGTTGGCCACTGTTTTGTTTGGTACTTTTTGTGATACAGTCAGGTATAGCCATAACAAAAGACACAGGAGAGGCTTGGGAAAACAAGGTTTGTCATACTCACAAGTCCTAGAGAATGGAGGCATGGGTTCTCCATGCAGGACCACATGTATTGTTTATTTTTTGTTTTTATTTTTGTGTTTGGAGAAGATTTTCCTATAGGATGCATACACTCACCAGAAAGACAGGGAGAGAAAGAGAGACAGAAAGTGAGAAATCACCCCCCCGGGGGGATGGCCACAGCGCAATCCCTTCTCCTCCATTCTCCTCTCGGGATCTTGGGCACACATGCACATACGCCCGGCGTGAGTTTAAGCCACCAGATCCAGGACTCAAACAGCAGTCGACTATATGGGAGTCCAGTGACATAGGCATTATGCCAACTGCTGGTCCCGAGGACCATATGTTAATGGGGAGGAGGCAGAAGACAGTCTGGGGAGGGCAAAATCCAGAGCTCTTGTTGGAATTCATGGTAGGGCAGGGGGAACAGTTTAGGACTAACTAGTTTGAATAATTTCTGTAGGTTTTGGGCTCTGAAGATTCTCCCTAGTTGCCTGGGACCCACTCCTGGAACTATTGAAGCAGAGGAATGTCTCCTGGGGTGTATAGGCCAGATAGAGTAGGGGCAACTCTGTATTGGTTAGCTTGCACCTCAGGGGCATGACCCACCTGAGTTCTTTGCTGTCTCTAAGAACTACCTAGCCCTGGGAAGAACAGTTTCTTCCCAACTCGAAAGGTTTTCTTAACATGTCAAACATCCTAGCATGCAGAAACTTGAAAATATCTATAGTAGAGTTCCCCAGTCTCACTCCGTCTTTCCAATAACCTCTCATGTCTTCTGCTCTCTCCCCAGGCCTCTGCACCATGGTTTACTACTTTACTACAGGCAGACTTCTGTGGGGGTGGCTGGCCCTTTCTGTCCTCCTGCCCGGCTTCTTGGTCCAGGGCCTGAGCTACCTGTGGTTCCAAGCAGATGGGCACCAAGGGTGTTGCCTGCTCGCGATGCTGCACCTCCTACAGCTTGGCGTTTGGAAGCGGTAAGAACAGCCGGCATCCTTTCACCTCTGCAGCAGAACTGCATAAAGGCAATCCTTAGGGCCAGGACAGGTCAGGCCGGGAGAATATTCAAAGCCACCAGGTCTTGCTCTGAAACTGAATCTCCTGATCCAGCCCGAGCTATCCTGAGCATCTCTCACATCAGGGGACTCCTTTCTTTTTCTCATCATTAGTCCAATTCTGTTTTGCTGTTGTTTCAATTCATTGGTTGAGCCTTCAGAATCATATAAGATCATTTGCTTAAGGCAGTTCCTTTTGAACTGCCTATTATCTTAGCTCAGGAAGGTGGCATACATTTAATTAACCACAGACTAGACAGTGAAGCCAGCATGGTGATATTGCTTCCAGCATTACAAGGGAAAGACCAAAAATAAATAAATAAATAAACTGGGTAAAGTAATGTTTTTAAGCAAATAGTTTTGTTTCTTTTTAATTGCAGTTCAGTAAAAGCTCCAACTGCTGGTCCCGAGGACCATATGTTAATGGGGAGGAGGCAGAAGACAGTCTGGGGAGGGCAAAATCCAGAGCTCTTGTTGGAATTCATGGTAGGGCAGGGGGAACAGTTTAGGACTAACTAGTTTGAATAATTTCTGTAGGTTTTGGGCTCTGAAGATTCTCCCTAGTTGCCTGGGACCCACTCCTGGAACTATTGAAGCAGAGGAATGTCTCCTGGGGTGTATAGGCCAGATAGAGTAGGGGCAACTCTGTATTGGTTAGCTTGCACCTCAGGGGCATGACCCACCTGAGTTCTTTGCTGTCTCTAAGAACTACCTAGCCCTGGGAAGAACAGTTTCTTCCCAACTCGAAAGGTTTTCTTAACATGTCAAACATCCTAGCATGCAGAAACTTGAAAATATCTATAGTAGAGTTCCCCAGTCTCACTCCGTCTTTCCAATAACCTCTCATGTCTTCTGCTCTCTCCCCAGGCCTCTGCACCATGGTTTACTACTTTACTACAGGCAGACTTCTGTGGGGGTGGCTGGCCCTTTCTGTCCTCCTGCCCGGCTTCTTGGTCCAGGGCCTGAGCTACCTGTGGTTCCAAGCAGATGGGCACCAAGGGTGTTGCCTGCTCGCGATGCTGCACCTCCTACAGCTTGGCGTTTGGAAGCGGTAAGAACAGCCGGCATCCTTTCACCTCTGCAGCAGAACTGCATAAAGGCAATCCTTAGGGCCAGGACAGGTCAGGCCGGGAGAATATTCAAAGCCACCAGGTCAAACTCTTGCTCTGAAACTGAATCTCCTGATCCAGCCCGAGCTATCCTGAGCATCTCTCACATCAGGGGACTCCTTTCTTTTTCTCATCATTAGTCCAATTCTGTTTTGCTGTTGTTTCAATTCATTGGTTGAGCCTTCAGAATCATATAAGATCATTTGCTTAAGGCAGTTCCTTTTGAACTGCCTATTATCTTAGCTCAGGAAGGTGGCATACATTTAATTAACCACAGACTAGACAGTGAAGCCAGCATGGTGATATTGCTTCCAGCATTACAAGGGAAAGACCAAAAATAAATAAATAAATAAACTGGGTAAAGTAATGTTTTTAAGCAAATAGTTTTGTTTCTTTTTAATTGCAGTTCAGTAAAAGCTCCTGTTGGGGGAGCCAAAACAATTGTGTTTTGTGCAATCCTGAATTGTAAGGCACAGATCACTTTAATTTCAAAATCTACTAACAGAAAAAAAAAAAAAAGTAAAACACAAACTTCCTGAGGCAACGTTGATTGTAAAAATGCAAGTATGTATGTAAAGCGTAAATACACTCTTTTATAAATTCCACGTACTACATTAATGTTAACTGTGACTCCCTTCAAGAGGACCTGACATTGGTGACAATGTGACCTGACATTGGTGACAATGTGTTTAAACAAAGCTCATTTTTTTATTTAGGTGTTTTTCTTCCACACCAATGATATGTTACCAACATCTTTTTAATCTTTTCTTAAGCCTATAAGTCTATTTTAAAACTCAGCCTAAGATCACAGAGGAATACCAAATTCATCTCATCTTTAGCATGTGTCTTGGTTTAACAACTTTTCTCAGTGGAAGTTAAAAGTTCTGAAGAGGATTTCAACTGGACTTGTCTGAGGTGTATTTCATGTTGGGTAAATTCTCTTTACAAGCCAAATGATATATAGTGATCGAATGTCTACAAATAATAAAATAAAATAAAAAGAATTTTAAAAAAATTCTGAAGAGAAAAGTCAAGGTGAACTTTAAGGATACCTTTAGGATAGACAAGTGGGGATTTATTATTTAAACATATATGAAATATAGTGGTAGCTAAAATTTTGAGTTGTTCACTAACCCCTCTAACATCACCAAAAAGTGTTAAAATGGAGAGACGAACCCCTCATTCTTCAAGTAGTAGGCCTAAGATAAAGTATTCTTGATATAGCTGATGTGTTTGGCTTTTTTCTTTCTTTCTTTTTTGTAGAGGTTTTTGCCTTAGGGTGTATGTGCTCACCAGAGAGAGAGAGATAGAGATGGTTAAATGGAAAGTGAGAAATTACCCCACAGCGGGGACGGCCACGCCACAATCCCTTTCTCCTCCATTCTCCTCCTGGGATCTTGGGCACACATGCACACAGGCCTGGTGTAAGTTTCAAACCACCAAGTCCGGGACTCAAACCACAGTCAGCCATGTGGGAGTCCAGTGATGGAATCGCTATGCCATCTGCTGGTCCCTTGGCTTTTTATGAAAACTGTTAGTGAGGAAAGAAAAGTTTGCCCAGAAACTTAATTATGAAGACCTAAGTTAGGTTCATTGTGTTTCCAAGCCCCAACTTGGACTGTATGTTATTCTTTTTTTTTTTTTTTCTTTGCTATAGGGCACGTGCACTCAGCAAACAGAGAGACAGAAAGCAAGAAATCACCCCCCAGGGGGGGATGGCCATGCCGCAATCCCTTCTCCATTCTCCTTTCGGAATCTTGGGCACACACGCTGGGCGTGAGTTTAAGCCACCGGGTCCGGGACATGAACTGCGGTCAACTATGTGGGAGTCCAGCGACATAGCCATTATGCTCACTGCTGGTCCCTGTGTGTTATTCTTAATGTAACCATCATGAACGCAACTCAGTAGGCTTGGTGTTCTGTTGAGCACATTTAGCAACTTGTATGTGACCAAAAGGACTGCAGGTGCACAATTAAGTGACCTGAGACCAGACTGGGAACAAAGCCGGAAACAGTGATACCAGGACAAAGTCAACAATGTAGGGAGTACGGTGGTGACTGAAGGATTTGCCTTCTGGGTTGGGTCTCACAGTGTGATCCCTAGACCACTGTCATCACCACCCAGGCACCTCAAGCTATATTGCATCACAACAAACTTCTCACGATTGTCCAAACGCATACCTTTCATTAGAAATTCTGGAACTAGGGTACAAGAGTCAGTGTATAAACAGTTCATTCAGGTGATTCTGATGCACCCTCAAGTTTGAGACTCTCTGGCCCAGGGGGTCTGGTCCTGGTGGGGACCAGCCCTGCCTCAAGAGGCCTTGAGTGAGACTTGAAGGATGAGGCGGATTTTAATTGATGTAGGGACAGGGAGGGCATTTCTGACCCAGGAAACTGCAACTGCTGGTGCAAAGGCATACAGGTGTGCCAGAAATGGTGTGTTTTGGGAAACTGGGGAAGCTTGTTGTGAGGATAGGCTAAGAATTTTCTAGATGAGAAGAATGTGGCAGGAGATACTTTGGGCTAGATCCTGAAGAAACTTTTATTCTAGGCTAAGGAATCTGGGTTTTCTTCTGCAGGCACTAGGGACTCACTGGAAGAGTTTGAGCAAAGGATTAAGAGGGTTAAATGAGGCCCTTAGAGAGATGACTCAAGGACAGTAAAGGAAATAGAATAAGAGATGCAGGGTGGGATGGGGAGCAGAAATCCAGGCCAGAGCTGAGAAAACGCTGGAATAATGCAGCAGTCACAAGGACAGAGGTAGGGGATGAATCTTACAGGTCCTAGTGACCAAACCCCCATGCCTTCCAGCTCACCTCTGCTTTCACCTGGGCTTCTCCAACACCTGTCCAGAGGTCCCCACCTGAATTTCTCCCTCTGCAATGGGCCCAGATACCCCATTCAGTAAACAGTACCATGTCAGCCATGTTCCCATTGATCTTCTGCTTCTCACAGGGGGAGCCCAAGAACTCAGACCATGGAAGCTTTTTATTGCCTGGCCCTACCCAGATTTGCCACTGTTCCCAGATACAGATTTCAATGCTTCTCTTCCTTGTCCCACTGACCCCAAACATTCCTTTAGGCTTTCCTCTCAACTACCTGTCAAGACCTTGCCCAACATCCTCTTCCAGAAAGTCCTCCTAATCACCTTATTTCCTCTCTCCAGAACTTTTTGAGAGAGATTTTTGCTATAGGACGTGTGCTTTTACTGGAGAGATGGAGAGACACAGAAAGCGAGAAATTACCCCCTCAGGAGGGATGGCCACACTGCAACCCCTTCTCCTCCATTCTCCTCTTGAGATTTTGGGCATACACACACATGTGCTTGGTGCAAGTTTCAAGTCGCCAGGTCCAGAACTTGAACTGTGGTCGAATGTGGGAGTCCAGTGATGTAACCATTCTGCCATCTGCTGGTCCCTCACAACAGAATCTTAATGCTTTAGAGAACATCTTTCCTTTCTCTTACTCTTTCTATGGTCTATAACAGGTAGTCAAAGCCCAATAAAAATGCATATTGAACCAATGAAGACTTTTGGGAGTACAGAAAGAAGAAATGACCCTGCACAAAGGACAAATGATTCCAGACTGAAAGGAAAAGTACAGCCTACCCTCATGGTTACATTTGGGGTTTCATATGTTTTTTTCTTAAGTTTGTGCCAGAATCCTGGCATCAAAGACCCAGTAAGAAATTAGTTCACTCCAGGAATCCAAATCATGAAAAAGGAAAACTGTTTTTCTTAAACATCTTTCCTGGGCTTCAGCATCATGAAAAAAGCCATTTCAAAGAGGACACTTCCCCTCCCCTTTTCTGTCCTGGATGTAGAAATGTTGGCCAAAGATCAGAGTCCAGCTTGTCTTCTGCATAATCAGCATCTTAGAGAAGTCCTTAAAGGGGGTTTTACTAAGTGACCTCCAAGGTGCATCTGGTTCTGATTCAGGAGTTGGTAAGGTGAAACCACTTCTAGTTCTTCTTAACTTAGACAAGACGGGATGTTCAGATCCCAGATGGATTTGCTGGGCACAATTGCCTCTGCTGTAAGCAGTGCAGTGGTCTCTCTCACTGCTAATTAGACCAAGGGTAGATCGTGGTGAGTGAGGGTTAAGTGTCATCCCAAATGGAAACTCAGAGGCCACAGTGCCCCCAGATGTAGTCAGGGAGTGGCACCATTAGAGATGCTATGTGGCCTTCCGGTCATGTCAGTCATGGCTGTGTTCCTTTCCAGACAGCTTTCCTAATAATACGAGTGTCAGAAAAGGGTTTCCAGGTTGGGTTTATGGTCACAGAGTGAACAAGGATGTTCTTCTTTCCTTGGTGTTTGAGTCCTCCTTTTCCTAGACCCTAGGAAGCCATTGGATTGGGTTCAGCCAATGTACCCCTGGGACCTTGGGCAGCCCAGTCCTCCAGACTCTTTGAGAGGACTCTGCCTCCTGCTTTCCACGTGCACAAGGCTGCTTCACAACTGTCTCCAAATCCAGAGGCCTGTTGTTCTTCACCTCTTCAGCCTGTTTCAGCCAGCCGCCTCTTGTTTCTTCATTGTTTCAACTTGACATTGAGCACCACCCATCCACTTCCAAACATGCTCTTTACTGCCTGGTTCTCTGCCTCCAACCACTTCATGCTGGCTGCTTCCTCATTCAAGCCTCTAAGTGCAAACGGTCCCCAAAATTCTGTCCTTAGGCCTCTGCTGTCTCCACACCATCTCCTCTGCCACTTCCGAACCTTTGACTCCAATCGTTGTCTCTGTTCATGAGTCCTAATCCATCATCAACAGCCCCAGAACTCTCAGATTCCTCACATCTGGAGAAATCCATGTTCTCCCAGTCCAGTGCCTCTTAACCAGCTTATTTCTATTGGTAGCATCACCACTTAAGTTGTTCAGGCTTAAAATCCCAGGGCTTTCTGTCTCTCTGTCTCTCTGGAAAGCACACAAGCTCTATAGCAAAATCTCTCTGAAAAAAAAGAAAGAAATTCAAGGCCCTGATATTTGCCATTAGAACCATATCAGCCCCAAACTCCCCATCATGCCCCAGCCTCATCTAAGCCCCCAGACTTTCTCTTGCCCATCTGCTCTCCGTGTGTCTCCATTCCATGAAGTGGCACATGAAGTTCTACATCTTGTGAAGGCAAGGCTGAGAGTTTTCTTGTCTCTTTGTTCTCAAGAGATGACTACAGAAGCTTGCAACAAATTAATTTAGTTAACTAAATTAATTCCGACCCCGAAGACGTTTTGGGTAGGTACATAGGTTGGGGTTCCAGTTGCAGTTCAAAGACTCACCCCAAGACAGGTCCCAAATCCTGGCCTGCCCCTGACTTTTCTAGACACAGGAAGGGGGTGACCCCTGGCATGAGGTTGAGGTCACTTACATTAGAACTAGCACCTTCAGCGTGGAGTCAGAGCTCAACAACAGCCTACTTGGTGACTCGGGGTGACTCTTGCACGTGTGCAGGATATTCTCTAGAAGGTATATGTCTCTAGATGAAAGGGGTGCCCTATTTAAGCTTGTCGCAGTCTGGCTCTGTGTCATGGTGCTCTTTACTCTTCTTTAGGCACTGGGACACCACATCGACTGCTCTGTCGAAGGAACGGGAAGCTCCCCACTGGGGTCGGCTGTGGCTGCAGGAAGCTGACCTGGCTGCCCTCCGGCTCCTGGAGGCCTTGTTACAGACCGGACCCTACCTGCTGCTTCAAACGTATGTTGTCTTAGCCACAGATTTCACAGATATTGTGCCAGGTGGGTAACTTTCACCATGGAACACAGTCCGGGTCCCCAAAGGACATAGAAACGCATGACTTATTTTTTGCAAAACTTTCCTGTCTAAGATTTCTCCTGCTTGGGAGAATTAAGGCACCGCAAATTCACTAACTCAAGATTAGGGTTAAAGCTGGAGTTTTCTGGACCAGCAGATGGTGTAATGGTTATGTCGCTGGACTCCCACGTAGTCAACCACAGTTTGAGTTTCGAACCAGCGGCTTCAAACTCACACTGGGTGCATGTGCATGCCCAAAATCCCAAGAGAAGAATGGAGGAGAAAGGATTTCAATATCGCCATTTCCCACCCCCCTCCAGGGTGGGAAATTTCTCTCTCTCTCTTTCTCTCTCTCTCCTCTCTGTCTTTCCAGCAAGTACACATGCCCTATAGCAAAAATCTCTCTCTAAATTTTTTTTTTTAATAAATTGGATTTTTCTTGGGGTGATTAATTCACAGAGTTGCCTTCTTTCTTGGGCATTAGGTACTAATGTCAGTCCTCAAGTGAAAAATTATGTGTAATCAAAATTATTCTGAAACTACCTTGGGAAGACTATTCTCAGTAAAATCAATGCATTCATTCTTCCCATAGCTTTAGTTCTAGAATAACTCTTAATGCAGGCAGAGACTTATACCTTGAGAGACCCGTGGAAGCTGAGAACTCAGGCCCCAGAAATTATACATTTCTAGCCTTCACTCATTCCAGGGCAGACATCTTCTCATTCTCTCTTTTCCTCTCAGTTGTTCCTGCTTCCTTCTCCTCTGCTCTCGCCTTTACTCTCTTCTTCCCTGCGCTCTGTGCTCAGTGCCCACATTTATACTTGCACAAGTTAAGATACATGACTGTGCTGTCCTTCTATCTGACTTTATCAACAAGCCTGACACCATTTGCTGTCCTGGTTTAGTTCTTTTGTTAAACCTCCTTCTTATGGGGTGGAACCACATTCAGATTCCTATAGGATGTACTTTCTTTAAAACAAAGGTTAGACCAGAAAGAGGGACAGTTTTCTTAAAGTACATAGGAAAGAAGAGCCCAGCCCATTTGCTGAGGAAAGACATTTAGTATGCAGTATCCTCACTCCTTCCTGTAAATAGACATCTGTATATATTTGCAGAGTTGTTATGTTATCCACCAGTCAAGGTTACTGATATCATTTGTAGATCTAGGATTTATTAAGAGGTTAGACATCCCAAAAAGGAAATCCCATGAGTGGATTTTCATGTGGTGCTATTGCTTGGAACTTTCAGAGATTACTGTGTCCATCCACTTCCCTTCCAGGGGTGAGTGTCCTGCTCTCCTGGTCCTCACTGTCCTGGGCCCTGGTATCCTATGCTCAACACATGAGCTTCATGAAGCCAGGCCACCCCGTCATGCCATGGGCTGCCCTCTTCTGCCAACAGCTCTGGAGGATGGGCATGCTAAGCACCCGTGTTCTGAGTCTGGTCCTCTTCTACAAAGCTTATGACGTCTGGGTACTGGTTGTTGGAGGTAAGCTGAACTTAAGATCTGGTCAACTATTGCTGCATAGCAAGCCACCCCAGAACAGGATACACTAAAAATAACCATGTGTGATCATTAATCCAGTTCTGAAAGCAGCTGGGCTCTGGTGGGCATTCTTGCAGGAGGATAGCAGATGACTGAGCTGAGTGTGAAGACAGCATCTTTACTCACAGGTGTGCCACACCCATGGCCTTCCTGTGGCCTTTTTCTTCAGCGAAGTAGCCTGGACTCATACTTGGAAGCTGAGAATTCCAAGAGAAAGAAAGTGGAAACTGCCAATTCCTCTTAAAAAATAGACCCAGAAGTGGCTCAGCATTGCTCTTGCTGTACTACGCTGGTTAAAGCAGTCATAGCCAGCCCAGATTCAAGAGCATGGCCTAGACCTCAGCTCTGGATGAATTAATATCTCTAGCAGGAAGGACATCGTATATGTAACTGGCTCTCTTTGGAGATATGCTACCATAGTTAGACATCTAGCTCTCAAAAAGCCCAATAGACCAGCCAGTGGCATGGTGTTTAAGTAACTGGACCCCACATGACCAACTGTACAGTTCAAGTCCCAGACCCAGTAGCTTAAAAAATACACCGGGCACATGTATATATGTGCCCAAAATTCTGAAAGAAGTGAAAAATAAAGAAGAAGGGGTTGCAACTTGACTATCCCCCATGGGGAGTACATTCTCACTTCCCCTCTATTGCCCTTCTCCAGCAAGTACACATGCCCTCTAGCCAATTAAAAACAAACAAATAAACAAAAATGGCCTAGCTGACTCTGGAGCACAGGACGCCTTAGACTGTTTTGTATCATAGACTAAAATCTTTTCTGTAGAAAAGCTGTCACTCCAACAGAAGGGAGGTACAGGGCTTCACTTGCCCTGGCCCAATACCAAAATGTACACTATATGCTGGGACCGTGCTCAGAGCCTCCAGTGTTCCATTTCCCTTGAATGCTGAATCTTGGACATCTTGGTCTCAAATAGAACAGCTTCACCTAACCCAAATTTTCCCAACCCTCGGGAATCTAGCTGTATACACAGACATGAATGGTGATGGCAGGGAGGCTGGCTGGCTGTGCAAACTCCCTGAATAGGGCTTGTGTATCCTGGCCAAGGAGAACATCTTCTCTGGTCATCAGTGAATACTCTACAAGAAAGGCCAGCATACTCTTGTTTTAAGAGAACTGGAGACATTGAGAAATATTCGGCCCTTGGGCCTAGAGCAAATATTTAATATGGATTTAATATGGTTATTGGCAGGAAAGAGACTCTTTGGGGGAGGGAACTTTGGTCCTAAAGAGATACTAGCTATTTTTTATTCTGTTTTTATTAATGCAGCTTGAACTCCAGAATGATATCATTCATCTTAAAATATAGGGGAAAAATTGATAGCTAGACCACATAGCATTCTTTCCCTTGGGTGTGGAGGTTTTTAGCCCTTATGGTAACAATTTAAAAATAACGGACAACTCATTTTATCACTGTCTCCTTAAACACTGTCTAGAACTGAAATGGCATAAGTACATAATGTTTGATAAATACTGTTAAAATTAGTCTTTGTTTTCTCATCTCCACACTGCGTTGATGACTCTGTATGAGGTCCAATGCGATCATGCGTGCAAGGATAAAATGCTTCGGTTTTCTGTGCCCCTTGAGTCTCTTCTGGGTTTTGATGTCTCTTCCTGGATGCTGAGTCGGGTGCCGTCAGAGCAGGGGTGACCCATCCCCTCCTCATCTCCTCACCTGGACCTGACTTTATGGTCTGCCCTCTCTCCAGGTGCTCACTGGCTGGTAATGACATTCTGGCTGGTGGCCCAACAGAGTGACATCATGGAAACCACCTGCCACTGGAGACTGTTCAACCTGCTCGTGGGGGCCGTGTACATCTTCTGCTACCTCAACCTCTGGGACAGCCCTTCCAGAAATAGAATGGTCACATTCTACATGGCAAGTAGTGATGGCAGTTTTCTTTAATCCTAACTTTTATAGTATAAACAGCATGTGGGGTGTGTGTGTGTGTGTGTGTGTATGAGGGGACAGAAAAGCGTGTGGAGAAATGAAGCATATTTAGGATGGGGCTGATGCCTTTAAGTAGCTCTTACTTTTAATGGCCTTGCTTAAATAATAAAAAGTGTGTCCCCGGGCCAAAGCAATAATTTCTAGAATCATTCTTTCATTGATTAGTCAAAACATATGAAGTGTATGTATGTATAGGTTCTGTGCTAAGACTTGTTGCTATCCTCCGATGGCTTCCTTGTTCTCATCTGCAGATCTTGTGACTAATGAAAGCATTATCATTACCAATAGCTAATATTGGAGCAAAAAGCGTGTGGAGAAATGAAGCATATTTAGGATGGGGCTGATGCCTTTAAGTAGCTCTTAACTTTTAATGGCCTTGCTTAAATAATAAAAAGTGTGTCCCCGGGCCAAAGCAATAATTTCTAGAATCATTCTTTCATTGATTAGTCAAAACATATGAAGTGTATGTATGTATAGGTTCTGTGCTAAGACTTGTTGCTATCCTCCGATGGCTTCCTTGTTCTCATCTGCAGATCTTGTGACTAATGAAAGCATTATCATTACCAATAGCTAATATTGGAGCAAGATCATTAGGTACTAGCCCCTGTTCCAAGCTCATTCACTGTCTTGCTTCACTTATTTCTCACCAAATTGGGTGAGATAAATCCATTTTGCAGATGAGGAAACTATGGACTACTCAGCAGATAAGGACACATGGCACACAAAGCTAAAGGGACCTGCTGAAGGACCAGGCAGTTGATCAGGCAGAGGCAGGATTCAAATCCATTTGGGCTGATACTACAGGCCAAACCCGCAACCTCTCTGGCAGGGAATTCAAAATGTTTGAGGTGGAAGGTGTTTTGGGGGACCTCTGGTGCAGGCAGTCATTAGACTGGCTGGTAGTCAGAGGCACTCAGGACCTTTTCCAACATGGAGATTTCAGGCCCCTTCTCAGGAGATTCCGGCCCTGATTTGGGTCTTGGGGTGCCCAAGACTCCATGCTTTGGAGACAGCATCAGGTGACTCTGATGATCAGCCTTGTTTGGGAATGATCACCTTCTCCTTTTTCAGAGGTGGAAAATGGCCTCTAGATAATCCTTGAATGTAATAGAAAACCTTGTTTAACCTTTTTTTGTTTGTCATGGACTTATTCACTTCAGCATACAACTAGCATCCTCCATGTGCTAGATTTGGAATCAGACACCAGAGAATGAGAAGGTCAAGTCTAAATGGCCGCAAAGACACAAGTGAACTAGAGCAACCACGGTGATCAGAGAAGCAGTGCTAACAAAATCCCACAGGAGCACAAGAGACAGAGAGAGGGGGAGAGCCCAGAAAGTCAGGGAAGACTTTACAAAGGTGACATTGGAGCTAGGTGTCGTGGGGTGAGCCAGGCTCACTTGAAAAAGAGTGGCAGGGAGGAAGGGCATTTCAGGCAAAGCTGCAACATAAAGCCCACTGATTACTAGGGAGGCCATGGGAAAGTAAGAGTGGCTGGGGTCAGAGATTAGCAAAGCTGGATACCAGCTAATGGCGACGAACACAGATTTTATTCAGGCTATGGCTATAGCAAAATCTACAATGGGA